TTGGCAGGTGGAAGTTTTTTCCCTTTTTTGTACTTGAGAGGGGGGAGAGAGGTGGTAGTCTGCCTTTGGACTTCAGACTTTTCTGTTGCCTGAAGTTCCTGCCTGCAACTCAAGATAGAAGAGAGGTCATCTTCCACAGCCTGGGGACTCAGGGACTTCTGATTCATTTCCCTGGAATGTTGATTCAAGATTAAAGACAATTCTCATGACACAGGGGGAAACTGTCTGAGGTATAGACTCCCCCAACACCAATCAAAGCTATGTTCCCTTCCCTTTACTTAGCTCTCTGGCAAGTGACAGCTTGCTAAGCTCAGAAACTAGCCCACTGTGACCTTCTAGAGGCATTCTGGCTAGAGTCAGGGTCTTTCACCAAAGACTGCCAAATGATGGGATTTTTAGATACTGTGGCAAGTCCTTTGAGAAGTTTTAGAGACAAGCAGGAACTTCCCCTGGTAAAGCTGAACTTGACAATCAAATTGTCTTCAACCATCCTGAGATGTTAATTGCTTAATTCTTGTGGGCCAAGATAACCAGAGGAGCCCAGAGCTGCAGGAAGAAGGCTGAGAGTTGGAAGGAAGGGGAGTGTGGAGAAGGGCTGAGACTAGTTCTATGGGAGCATCTGAGGGCACAGTCTTGGACTCTGCCCCACTCTCAGGAGAAGGGAGGGTACCTGGTTGGATGGAGGGCGGGCTGGGTGTTTCTCACCTGCCATTGCCATACTTGATGCGGATGTCTCGGCTGCGGTTGAGTTCCTTGCCATCCTTGAACCAACGGTAGGAGGGCTGGGGGTTACCGGCTGCTGCCTCGCACTTCAGCGATTGTTTCTCACCCACCTGTCCTGTCTGGCTTTTCATCTTCTTCAGCTTGGGCCGGGTGGCTGTGGGGTACAAGGCAGGTAGGTGAGTGGGTGGTGGTGGGGCAGCACCAAGCATGAGTAGTTGGGGATAAGGGCCACTGTCTTCAGGCTAAAACTAGGGAGGGAAGGAGTAAGCCTAGGAACTGCCCCTTGTCATTTTTCCTGGTTCAATTCAACAGAGAGTCCGCAATGATAACAATATAGCTACTGCTTATGGAGAGTTTTCTTCATGCCTGGAATGAAACTTTACATTAGCTTATGAAATCTTCACAATAACCCCATGAATTCACTGCAACGATTCAACCCACCTATAGATGGTAAAACCGAGGCTCAGAATAGTAAAGTCACTTCCCTAATGCAGAATTTTGAATGCCAAGTTTTTCCCATTTTTCTTAAGCACCATTCCATTTCCACATGCCCTAGTCTCCCATGCTTTACCTGCTTGTTCTTCTTTCTCTTCACTGGCTCAAAAAAAAAAAAAAAAAAAAAAAAGAAAACAAACCCAAAAAACGTACACTATTCTCAGAAAGGTAAGGATGAACCAGTGCTCCCTGCTGGGATGTATAATAATTTCCATTGGTATAGCCCTTTACAGGAAATATAATGCCTTCATGCATGTTCTCATTTTGTCCCTGAGTTCTGTGAGACAAGAGTTATACTGATGGTGAAGATGAGATTCAGAGAGGTCAAGAAACTTGACCGAAGCCATATAGCCAGGCAGCCACCATGCCAGGACCAAAGCCCAGCTATCTGGATTTGTAATGCATCAGGCTGGTGGCAGGCTAGTGCCTACTTTTGCAGCCTCATCTCTCTGTGAGATAGTCAAAATCCTTCCAACAGCAGAAGGGAGGGTTTTCTGGAGCCAGAGAAGTGTCTTGGGACTGACTGGTAACTCAGATCTCTGGCAATGGACCAGAGCTGGCTTTAGAGAAAGGCAAACAAGAGGGCCAGCTAGACATAGGCATAGGTGTCCCATCATTGAACTTAACCTTGAACTTGTTCCTTTTAAGTAGGGAGTAGATGAAAGTTGGGTGCAGGGAACAGAGGGAATATAGAAAGAAAGCCTTTAAAAATGTATTACACAGGCTTACACGTTGATTCTTGTGAAATAATTTTGTTCATTTTAGGAAATTAAAAAAATACAATGGATAAAAAGAAAACAAAACTATTCATTATCCCAGTACTCATAAATGACACATGCACACACACCACACACACAAACACACACACCTTTTTTAAAACAAAATGGGATTAGTGTCAATAATGTTTCTTTCACTTAATGAAACAATGTAACCCTTTCACCTTGGTGTTAAATATTAATAACCACATTTTCCAAACTGATTTCTGTAAGACATGAATATATAGAGAGATGAAAATAGATATTACTTGAAAAAAGAATTCCATGAGTAAATCACTTTGGAGAACATGTGGGCAAACAAAGTTAAAGAAGTATCTTTATTCACTTTATTATCATTCTCTAAGTAAGAGCCTTGAAACTTTTTTTCATGGAACACTTAGTAGCATTTCAAGGAAATAAAGGTACGTGGAACAAATTCCATAACATAACTTATGTGTGTATATATTTACAGATATACATTTAATAAATAATGTATTAACATGATTCAAATTCAAGAAGTGAAAAATGGTATATGGCTTACAAAACAAGTCCTTCTAACTTCTGACCGCAGCCACACAGTGGCCTTTCCAGGAGGCAACCAATTTTACTAGTTCTTTTGACATCTTTTCAGAGATCTTTTATGTGCATACAAAGGAAAAAACCAAAAAACCCCAAACCCAGTATTCACACACATTTTTTTCTACAGCATTTATTTCATGGTTGTATAATATTCCTATATGGGCATATCATAACTTATACAATTATAAGTTGCACTGTTCTGGGGCATTTATCATGTCCTCACTCTCACCCTCCCATCACAAATAACTCCCCACAGGGACATCTTTGCAGCTAAATCTCGCATCCATTGCTCTATGGGAAATATGGCTCTAGACTTAGCTTGTGTTCAAACACAGGCTGTGCTACTTGTTAGCTTTGTGTCCTCAGGTCATTGACTTAATTCTGTAGCACTTCAGTTTCCTCAGCTGCAAAATACCAGTGATAAATAATAGCTTCTACCTCATGGGATGATGGCAGTGAGGATTATATGAGATAATACATGTAGAGCCTGGCACACAGAGAGCATTTAATAAAGGTTAGCTATTACTGTTAATATTATCCACAATTATTTCCTAAGGCAATCTTCTTAAAAGTGGAATTGCTGCGTCAAAGGGTACGCAATCTTTCTCAGCTTTGCACATTGCCAAATTGCCCTCTGGAAAGGTTGCACCAATTTGCACTCCCCCCAGGGAAAGACAGTGCCTGTTTTTTCCACACCTTCACCAACATAAGGTATTATCATGTCTTTAATCTTTGCCAATTAGCTAGGCAAAAGATAGTCTCTTTATTGTTTTAATTTGCATTTATTTGATTACTGATGAGGCTGAACATTTTTGTAAGTGTATTGGCCCATTGTATTTCTTCTTTCTGAATTGCCTGTTCATGTCTGCAGTCTGTTTTTCTATTGAATGCTCATTTTCTTATTGATGTGTAAGATCTCTTTATAAATATTGAGGCTATTAACCTTTTCTACAATGTCCTCCCCGCCCCACAGTTATCTGCTTCTCACATTTTATAATGCTGGCTCTGTGGTTTTTTGGGGGGGCCACCCAGAGGTTTTATGTATATTAACCTACCAATTTGTTGAGGTTTCTGGAACTTCATTATTCGAAGTGAGATTGAAGTCCTGCCTCAGCTTCCTTCCCTTACCTACACCTCCTCCCACCTTCATGTGCTCCTTGTCATAGTCCTTAACCCTGGATGCTAACAAGATCACATGGGAAGCTTTAAAACTCCAGAGGGTGCCTGGGACATATCCTAGGTATTCTGAAGCAGAACCAGTATGTGGGTCCAGGTTTGTGTGCTTTAAAGTGCTCCTTAGGTGTCTTTCTAACTTTTTTTGAAATATAACATACATGCAGGAAAGTGCACATATAGAGAGTCCCTGAGTTACAAATATGCAACTTACATCCAACTAGCACTTAAAAATGGAGACTATTGGCTCGGCGCCTATAGCTCAACCAGC